TCAGTGATCGCTGAGTGTTTGTAAATAATTGAGGACAGAGTATGGTTACTATATCCTCAATTATGAATGAATGGGAAGTGATCTCCATCACATCTACATCACTTACTGTTCATTCATGATTGTGGTTATAGGAAACACACAATGTCTTCATGTTATGTTACAGGAATACTCAGTATGGAGGATACAGGGGCTGCAGAAAAAGAGAGATTGAGGACTGTGTGTCTCAATCTCTTTTTCTATTTTAAAAGGGAAATATCAGGGGTCTGTTAAGACCCCCCAATATTTCCCCAAAGCCCCTAAAAGTAAAGTAAAAAAATTAAAATATTCAATTAAAAAAATGAATAAATAAATATAAAAAAATTAAAAAGTTTGTAAAAAATAAAAAATATTTAAAAAAAATGAAAAAATTAAAATAAAAAACATTTTCGGTTTCGGCCTGACAATTTTTTTTTATTTCGATTTTGAAATTTCCATTTCGGTGCACCTCTAGTATAGAGTGCTAGAAAGTGCAATAAGGAAATATACAAATTGGTTGTGCTAATTGAATGTGTATATCCGATATCACCAAATACTGTGTTTAACCCTTTCGTTGGCACCACCATATGGCATGCAGCGGCAAAAGAGGGGTGTTGTAAGCAGATTCCTGTCCGCTATAGACTGTCATGGTAAGTGTGGCCCTCCCCGTCACCTCCAATGTGCTATTTCCATTTTTATTTCACCAAAACGTATTTGCTATTATGTTGGATGGGAGCAGTGACCACTTGGATGGCACCAGGGATCGCTTGGATGGGAGCACTGACTACTTGGATGGGAAGAGTGACCACTTGAATAAGGGCAGTGACCATTTGAATGGGAAGAGTGACCACTTGGATGGGACCAGGGACCACTTGGATGGGAAGAGTGACCACTTGGATGGGACCAGAGACCACTTGGATGGGAAGAGTGACCACTTGGATGGGACCAGGGACCACTTGGATGGGAAGAGTGACCACTTGGATGGGATCAGGGACCACTTGGATTTAAAAAATAAAAAATATTTAAAAAAAATGAAAAAATTAAAATAAAAAACATTTTCGGTTTCGGCCTGACAATTTTTTTTTATTTCGATTTTGAAATTTCCATTTCGGTGCACCTCTAGTATAGAGTGCTAGAAAGTGCAATAAGGAAATATACAAATTGGTTGTGCTAATTGAATGTGTATATCCGATATCACCAAATACTGTGTTTAACCCTTTCGTTGGCACCACCATATGGCATGCAGCGGCAAAAGAGGGGTGTTGTAAGCAGATTCCTGTCCGCTATAGACTGTCATGGTAAGTGTGGCCCTCCCCGTCACCTCCAATGTGCTATTTCCATTTTTATTTCACCAAAACGTATTTGCTATTATGTTGGATGGGAGCAGTGACCACTTGGATGGCACCAGGGATCGCTTGGATGGGAGCACTGACTACTTGGATGGGAAGAGTGACCACTTGAATAAGGGCAGTGACCATTTGAATGGGAAGAGTGACCACTTGGATGGGACCAGGGACCACTTGGATGGGAAGAGTGACCACTTGGATGGGACCAGAGACCACTTGGATGGGAAGAGTGACCACTTGGATGGGACCAGGGACCACTTGGATGGGAAGAGTGACCACTTGGATGGGACTAGGGACCACTTGGATGGGAAGACTGAACACTTGGATGGGAAGACTGAGCACTTGGATGGGACCAGGGATCGCTTGGATGGGAGCACTGACCGATATGGCCTCCGCTCGTTCGGCAGTTTCTTTGTGCGGTTTTGGATTCGGAGGCCATGCAAGATAGAGTAAAGGAGGGTTATAACCCCCTCATCTTTTTTTTGCCCTCTATGTCCCATTGGAGGGATTTCCCTTCACTTCCTGTCCAATAGTCACAACAGGAAGTGAGAGCAACAAGTATCCCAATTGGAAGATTTTCTATCTATTCCCCTTCAGGTGACAACCCAAAATTTGGGATTTTCTTTTACTTTCAGTGATAACATTCAACAGGACACATAGAGAGGGGGGACACATCAATGAAAACCTGGCAGGGGGCCTAGTCCCCTCTCCACTCTATCCTAAACTTACGATCATGTGACAGCGCTGACAGAACTACATTTCCCTGCATGCGTACCTCCATGAGCCCTTGCAATGGCTTGTCCTTATCTCATGAGTAGGGGTGCGGAAATTAACGATTAATCAGTCGATTAATCGTAAATTTTTTTGATCGATCAAAGTTCTTTTGATCCGTACTCACCTCTCCGCCGGCTTCCGGGTGTTCCGCCGGAGATCCGGTGACGTCACGGACATCGATGTCACCGGACTCCCCCCCCCCTTCCCCGAGTGGCTCTGTCGGCTAACGAAGGGAAGGGGGGAGGGATCGGGTGATGTAGTTGTCCGTGATGGGTAACGAAGGGAAGGAGGGAGGAGTCCGGTGACGTCACGGACATCGAATCCTCCCCCTTCCCTTCGTTACCTGACGGAATCACTTGGGCCGGTGAGTCGGCCCAAGTGATGCAACCCGCAAGGGATGTTTACCAAATAGTTACCGTGTACATGTAAGCGTTTTGAAAGCTCTTTTATCTTCTGTACTTATGCTGTTTTAATATTATCTCACACTGTATATAAGACTTGCTCCATGCATGCCTTTCAGAGAGTTTCCACTGCTGTAGCAATTTACAAGAGTACAGTTTGTATTACAGCAGACAGTAAAACTGTATGTTCCCTTAGGCTTTTGTAAACTGCTTCTCAAATATGTTTTGAAATGTTTTCCAATTATCTGATGTTGTGATGCTTTCTCTGAAGAGTTAATTTGTGGTTGAAATGTTGGGAGCATTTTATCTCCTTCCACAAAATCATTTTAGCTGCTACCTGCTAATATTGCGCAACATAAAAATTTTCAACTACCACCATTTTATTCTATAGGGTCTTGGCATTCAGAAAATATATAATGTTGGGGGGTTTTACGTCATTTTCAGGCCTAAAATGTGGAATATAACATGGGTGCAAAAATGGAAAAAAGGGCCTCAGTCATGAAGGGGTTAAAGAGGTGATAGCTCAATTTTCCCTCATCTAGTTTTTAGAAATCGGCCTTGTGGTCTTCCGTCGGAGATCCGGTGACGTCACGGACATCGACGTCACCGGACTCCTCCCCCCTTCCCCGAGTGGCTGTCGGCTAACGAAGGGAAGGGGGGAGGAGTCGGGTGATGTAGTTGTCCGTGATGGGTAACGAAGGGAAGGAGGGAGGAGTCCGGTGACGTCACGGACATCGACTCCTCACTCTTGGGGCCGGTGAGTCATCGGATGTGTGAACAATGTGTACAAGGCAGCTAAAATAAAAATTAAATAATATGTATCATGTAAAATCTACTACCCTGTTAGAAATCTACTATCTGCTACCCTGGTGAGACCCCCTCAGAGCCCTGGTGAGTCCCCAGAGAGCCGTGGTGAGACCCCACAAAGCCATGGTGAGACCCCATGGAGCCCTGGTGAGACCAGGGCTCTGTGGGATCTTGCCAGGGCTCTGTCGGTCTAACAAGGCTGGTTAGACCCCACAGAGCCCTGCTACCCTGGTGATGCCCCCTCAAAGCTCTGGTGAGACCCCACAGAGCCCTGGTTTAACCAGAGCTCTGTGAGGTCTCACCCGGGCTCTTTGGCGTCTCACCAGGGCCCTGAGGGGTCTCACCAGGCTGGTGAAAACGCACATAGCCATGGTGGGACCCCATAGAGCCCTGGTGAGACCCTACGGAGCCCTGGTGCTGGTGAGACCCTACAGAGCCCGGGTTTAACCAGGGCAGTGTGGGATCTCACCAGGGCTCTAACCAGGCTGGCGAGACCCCCACATAGCTCTGGTGAGTCCCTACAGAGCCCTGGTGAGGCCCTACAGAGTTAAAGCAGGGCTTGGTACGGTCTCACCAGGGCTCTGTGGGGTTTAACCAGGACTAGTGAGACCCCACTGAACCCTACTTTAACCAGGGCTATGTCAGTGCTACAGTTTGAATTTAAAACGTATTTGTGTGAACTGTGAAGTTAAGTCATGGATTGTGGAACCTAACTAGTGTCGGGTGATTGTATATAGTGTATACCACATTTACCACTGACTAATGCAGAGTTGCAATGCAAGCAGATCAGCTAAAAGTAGTTGGATCTGTATGTGCGTTATAATTAATCGAAATTAGTCGATTAAAATTTTTTTCGATTAATCGAACAGGAAAATGTTAATCATTACCAGCCCTACTCATGAGGCACCAACACAGACGGGAGGATCAAATTCTCAGTAGGCCGCCATGAGTTTTACCACATACATCAAGGCTAGTGAGCACCTCCAACGGGTGACACCACTGGCTCTGCCAGCAGGTTATTGTCAACCAGAGACAGGAAGTGGGGATAGGCCTTTAGATAGCAGTAAGAAGAGGTAGGATTTGGTACACCGGGAAGTCCATATTTGCGTCCATGACGTTGGTGGGAAGATCCCCATCCCCCATCAATTCCTCATCTTGCCATGGCAACCAAGGCCCAGCGGTGAGCAGATCTATCTACTCCTTTGTGCATTTTTCCCTATAGTCCTATGGAGAATCCAATACGGGGTGGTGACACCAACACGATGGTCCCAGTAATGGTGTCACTGGCACTCTAGTCAGTGGATTCTCCATTGGAATATATGGAGGGTGAACTCTAGAGAAGGGAAGAAGGCATATATATTTTCTTTCTTTTATTTTTTCCTTTTTTTAGACTGTGGTAAGCTTTCCATTATACATTTTGAAGAAATAAACAATTTCTTCAGCTAGTCAGAAAAACCCTTCCATCCCTTTACGACTTTCCGGACATTGCCGAGTGCCAAGCCGAACACTTCCGATTCTCCCCTGTCCCGTCTCACGCTAGAGCTTCAGCCGAACGTTTCCGAATTCCTCCTCCGAGGATACCCCGGAGATAGCCGAACCCGCTTCCGACTGTTTCCGAAACCCACCCGAGCGAAGGGCCGGCCCGCCCGCCTAGCAGCGGAGTGGCTGGGGCGCCCGCAGAGAGCCGAGTGTTTCCGCTGCCGGGCTCAGAAGCGCACAGAGGGATCGGGGGGAGCCCCGGCTGTACGTGCAGCAGCGGGAGGAAAGGGACGGAGGGAGGCGCTGCCCCCGCTGTACAGGGAGAGAGCCGGCTGCTGGGGGGACGGAGGGACCCGCGGGGGGAAACCAGCACGATGATCAAACTGTTCTCCTTGAAGCAGCAGAAGAAGGAGGAGGAATCTGCCGGCGGCACCAAAGGCAGCAGCAAGAAGGCGTCGGCCGCCCAGCTCCGCATCCAGAAAGGTGAGCACCCCGGCCTGCTGCAGTACACGGGGCGGCCACTCGGGGGCGCTGCTGACACCGCACCCCCCCCTCCCCCTCCCCCCTCAATATCCCTTGTATGGGGAGAGAACCCCATCCCCCACTCCTTCCTCTACATCACAGGGGCACTGCAAAGCCCAGAATGCCTGGGCAGGGGGTTCTGCTGGGACTTGTAGTCCCTCACAGCTGGCTGCGTTCATTGGGACTACACTGGTGTCCCTCCTACTGGAGGTGTGGCCAGCAGAGACATGTTGGGACTTGTAGTTCCACACAGCTGGCTGCTTGCACACTATGCTGCTGTTGCTACTACTGCTGAGGGGGGTGACACTGGTCTGCTGAGACTTGTTGTTCCCTGGTGCACCCAGCCAGGCAGGTATTTGTGTGGCAGCAGCTGCTGTACTGTGGTGGCCATGTTGCTTTTTTTGGGGGGGGCGGGGGAGAGACCCCCCATTCTACACCCCACCCCTTTCTCTAAATCAGACCCATCTGGCAATAGCTGCCCCGGCAGGTTTCTGCTGGAACTTGTAGTACCCGGTGCTTGGACACACTTGTGGTGCTCCTATAGCTGGCTGCCCAAAATTCAATACTAGAAGCTACAGTTCCTTTTTTTTGGCAACTACAACCCTCAGCAAGGCCCGGTGGTTGCCTCTTTTGGGTGAGTAGCCGGGGTGCAGTCTCCCGTAGAGGTGAGAACGGAACCCGCTGCAATACCGATGACCGCCAGTGGGGGGGG